GTGGGATAGCCAGGGAAGGGGCGGGGAGGACGAGCGAGGGCCAGGCAGGAGACACCCCAGCTAACTTCCCTGCACTCACGTTTCCTCCCCCGGCCCCAGGCCGGCGTGGCCGATCTCCGGCCGCTTCCTCTCCCGGCCCCAGGTGGCGGGGTACTGAACGCTCCACCACGCCCCCCGCGCATCCGCCGGTCCGCGGGCCACGTCCCACGCCCCCTTCTCGCCCGCCCGCCTATCGCTGCCGTCAGAGGGGGCGGGGCCTAGGCTCCGGCGTCCAGTCAGCCACGGTCCCAGCCTGCCCTGCGCGGGCGAACGAGAGCAAATCCAGTGACTCACCTCCGCCGCGCTAACTCCTCGCTGGCTCAGCCCGCACACACGCTCACACCCGGCTCGACATGGCGGCGGCGGCGGCGGCAGCGGCGGGGGACTCCGACTCCTGGGGTGAGGAGAAGTTCCGGGGGCAAGGCCCGGGCCGGCGCTGGCCCCTCGCCGAGGCAGGCACTAACGCGGCTCGCTCTCTTCCGTAGACGCGGACACGTTCTCCGTGGAAGACCCGGTGCGGAAGGTGGGGGGCGGCGGCACCGCCGGAGGGGACCGCTGGGAAGGCGAGGATGAGGACGAGGACGTCAAGGTGGGTGCGGGCCAGGGCTCCGGGCAGCGCCTCAGAGAGCTGGCGCCGTCGCGGGCGAGGTTGCCCACCGACGGGCGAGCGGGTGGCTCTGGGCCCAGGGGTGCCGCCCGGGCCTGCGAGCCCTGAGTCCAGGCGCGAGCTCAGGGCCCCGCGGTGCCCTCTTCCCCTCCGCTCGCCGACTGTGTGGGCCGGAGACGGGCAGCGTGGCCTTTCGGGCTTCCTTGTCGAGGGCGGCGGCGGCCCTGGCCCCAGCCCTTTGTCGGTCCGCGCCCCGGCCTGGATCCCACCCGCCAACTGGCGCCGGGAGGTGACAGCAGCGGTGGGGCCGGCCCACGTGCAAACTTCGTAATCTGGAGCCTCTCGCCGAGATGAGACTGGCAAGTTGGGGATTGAGCCCCATGGCTTATCCCATATGGAAAACATTGCAACGCACCTGCCTTTCCGAGCTCTTGTCTCCCCAGAGCCAGTAATTCATTTATATCCCCGAAGGCCCAGTTGTAGAGTTGGTACCATTAGGTAAGTGAAATACTGTGCCTTAATTTTAACCTTTTTTTTCCACACAAGAGAAATAGAAACAGTAAAGCGAAATAACTTTTAGTCTCCCTTCCCACGTCGTATGGTAAAAGGATTAACTGAGTACTGAAATAGCTAACAGTTATTGGTCAGAAACTTGAATAGTCCACACAGTGACCTGAAAAATGTAGAGGTGACAGAGTGACATTAATCTAAACACGAGATAGCTAAGATTTGGTGGTTGGAGTAGAGAGGGGGCCGGTGCTTAATTTTTTCGTACATCTTGTAGATCTGATCCAGATCTACCTTCATCGTTCCGTTTTGAAAACCCCTGGGGGCTCATCATATGGCTTCAGATGACATTATGACTATGGTATTTTTTTTTTTTTTTTTAAGTAACTTCAAAAGTCTCAAATCCAGCATGTTAAGACTTATGAATAAAGTTCTCAAAATTTTTTAATATTTGTGCAGATAAAGTTTTGTATGAATTGGAAAATGCTATTTCATGATTTTGATTCATTTAGTCCGTGTTTTACTCCTGACTCCTACTCTTTAGCATATACTCAACTCTGCATGTCCTTCTGCTTGGGTTGAAAAATTTTAAGCTAGATAATATAGATAATCACTATTAACTTAATATTAATACTGCTTTTGTTTGGATTTTACCCATTTCTCCTGAGTCTAATGAGGTGAATGTTCAATTTATCAAACAACCTGAGGTCCAGAAATGATGGGAGCTTTGCACACATTGGGGTTAATTAGTATTGTTGTGAAGATACTTAGATGCTTCGTTTATATGTTGTATAGACATGGGAATGGATTGTGTTGACCTCTTCATTGAGAGATATGTTACTTCCCTACACTGTAGAGGATTTTCTGTTTTGAGCCTTTAGTTCAGATTTGTCCTTTTAATTTTTCTATGCATACCTGGATGCAGCAGTTACAACATCTTTTAGTGAAAATTGGAAATTATCAAATGTGAAGAAAAGATTTGAGAAATCTGGACAAAAGTACCAGAAAATGAGGCCTGAATGAAGTAGTCTGGACTGATGATATGAAGTAGACTGCCTGAGATTATTGGATCTAAATGGTATCTGTCCTGATAAATACAATTCTGATCACTTGGAATTAGTTTTAGAGATTTACAAGTTGTAAAGGATCATAAAAGTAATCTCATCCAGTCACTCTTTTGGTGCAGAATTTATTTTATACAAATAGCTTATTTCTTTTGCACAAACTTTGAAGTTTATCTGGGAGAAGAAAGCTGAGCTTGTCTGTTTTATTTCTGAGTTTAAGTGTTGGTTTATTTCTGTTGAGTTTCTTCAAGATTTTTCATGATATGATATCCATAGAATAGTTTGATTCCTGGACTCTGGAATCAGATTGACCTGAGTTGATATTGTTGCTTTGACATTTTCTATGAGGTAGTAGGGGAAGCATTAAGCAGAGTTGCCTGGTACATGGTAGGCAACTCAGTAAGTGTTAATTTTTTCTTACTTAAAGATATAGTCTTTTTCTGTCTAATGGAAAGTATGCTTAGGCTGTTTAGATCTAGGATTGGGGTTTATTTTGTCCCACTTTATTTTTATTTCCTAAGCTCAGAAGGAGTAACTTCTTTCCACAGTGGCTATTTACTGTGAATTTTGTGTTTTGAATGGAATGACCATGTTTATCAAGCAAGTTTTTGCTTTCTCAAAGGTTACCCATCTAGAGTTGAATTTTGTCTCCTTGGATGGTAGTAATACCAAATTTCTGAATTCTAATGTTTTAGTACTTAATTCTTTCCTAAGGAGATGCAAACAAGGCTTAGTTTCCATGAGATCGAGTCATCATAGTCCTTAATATAATATGCTAGGGAGCATACTTTCCTATTACAGTGGCTTTATTTTACTTTTCTTACTATACTGATGTTATGTAGAGGCAGTGGGAGGAATTGTTCATTTGGTATATATCACTGGACTCCTTCCCCATTGCTGGAATGATGTGTAGGCTGTGTTGACAAGAAGGCAGCGAGTACCTACCCACTGCAAGCAGGGACAATACAACTTTTACTGCATTTTAGTAGTCTTCCAGCGTTTCAAGAAGCTAGATTTATTCAAAGGATGTAGAGTTTGTTTTGAGAAAACTGCTCCTTGTTGTGTTCAGCGTCTCAGGCATTTGCTTCTATAACGTTTACAGAATTTCTCTAAGATCCTAGAGTTGGAAACTGCCTGCATCATCCTACCCATTGAACCATCTGTTGGGAACCTTTGTGGGTTAAGCATTGGAAATAGCACTTCTGAAGAAGGGGGTCTATATTTCAGAGAAATGGGAGATTATTGGGAAATACTCAGAAGGTGGGCAAATTTTGCCAGGAAATGGGTATCTTAAAGTGTGTGTGTAACTTCTTATGAAAAATTCCAAACATATACAGAAGGAGAAAGAAAAGTTTAATAAACCCATCACCAATATTCTTTCTTCTTTATCTCCACTTACTGCTCTCCTCCCCCAACCAGATTATTTTGAAGAAAATCGCAGTTATTTCATTTCAATACCCTGACAGTTTTTTCCCCCAAAGAATATGTTTTTATTGATTTTTAGAGAGAGGAAGGGACAAGGAGAGAAACAGATCGACTGCCTCCTGCATGCCCCCTACTAGGGATTGACCTTACAACCCCCACATGTGCCCTGACTGGGTATCTAACCAGTGACCTTTCGGTGCATGGGAAGATGCTCAATCAGCTGAGCCACACCATCCAGGGCAATACCCTGACAGTTTTTATAAATGTAAGTTTTTAGTTGGGAAGCATGTTTGTTATTGAAAAATACTTATCTAATGTTATTGTAATTCTGGAACACTCAAAATAAATAAGCCACTTGTTCAGAGCTCAGTGTTTTGATCATGATCTTGCTTGGCCAGGAATTTAAAGTAGCATTGATTGATAACAGTTCCGAATATTAGACAGGCACTGAGGTGGAATTCAGTTGAGTGCTGAGCCATACATAATAGGATGTTAAAAACTTAATGAAATTGAATTAAATGAATGACCTGGTTTCCATAGACCAGTATAGTTCTGAGATGAAGGAGGAACGTTTGAACTTCTTTTAAAAACTGAACTTTGCCTGGCTGGGCGTGGCTCAGTGGTTGAGCGTGGACCTAGGATCCAGGCAATCGGGGTTCGATTCCCGGTCAGGGCACATGCCCGGGTTGTGGGCTCGATCCCCAATGACTCTCTCATCATTGATGTTTCTGTCTGTCTGTCTGTCTGTCTGTCTGTCTGTCTGTCTCTCTCTCTCTCTCTCTCTCTCTCCCTCTCTCCTTTCCTCTCTCTGAAATCAATAAAGATACATTTAAAAAACAACAACAAAAAAAAACCTGAACTTTGCTGGGAAGTCCAGCCTTGCCAGGTGCCATTACAGAGTTCTGAGGCCTCTCAGAGCAGGTCAGTACAGCTTAGAAAACACTAGCCAGTAAAAGGTTATTTTCTTGCAAGAGATTATGCTTTATCTAAACCAAACTACTTAAAAGGGGGAAGGAGTATAAGTTAGTGGGCTATAGCTATGGGGCAGAAGAAATTTTACTGCTCTTGAAGCTACTTCTATTTGACGATCTATAAATATATCTTACTTAAGTTGGAAAGCATTTTCAGCCCTAAATGCGTTCTCTTATTGCATGTGACATTCTGTAGTTGTACATTATAAAAATGACAGACCAAACAACTATTGGCCGCATTGTTAGAAGTAAAAAGAAGAAAGCAGGGTTTAAAATTTTTGTTTTGTTTTCAATTCGTAGTTCAGTTGGGAAAGTTTTTAAACTTGAAAAGCAGCCATATCTTTCAGAGAAATGGCTCAAATGATGTTGGGTGTGTATCTGTAGAAGAATATAGATAAGCAAGTCATAGTATATAAACAGCTTCTGTTGTAAGGAAGCTAGCCATTTTAGGAGGTAAATTGTATGTAATAGTTGTAAGATTTATTGGCTACCTAAAATAATTAGGTAAAGAATTTAATTGGATATTGATAGGTAGTCTCTTGAAGCAAATAACCATTTAAGGCTTACTAAATTACAGATTTACTCCCTATTTTAAGTGTTAATTTTTTAGGTGTTTCTCTAGGAATCTTTTTTGTATTTTATCTGAATTTATTGTCAGCATTTACAAAGTCCCAGTGTTTACAGAAAATTGGACAGAGTTATACAATTCTACCTTATATTTATTTTTAGGGAACCTGCATATGTTATAACTAAGGAAACAAAAACTTTTTTAAGTTCCTGGGGTTAGCTACCTGGCCTTTTGCTTTTGGGATTATATCTGTTTGGAAATATAACCAGCGTTTTTTTTGCTGGCATCACTATGCTCTCTTTTTTAAGGATTTGTCCCCTGTGTGGTAGTGACTACAGGGCGACTTGTTTCTAGCATTCTGGGGTGAGGGTGACAGGAAACACTTGCCTTTCAATGGTCCTTTCATGAACAGAGAAATACATGTCATGGTTGGTTCCAGGAATTGTTAGGAACCACTGCTTTTGCTACTAAAATCCACTCTTTTGTGGAATTCTAAGTAGTCTTATGTCTGGCTGATGAGACAGCTTAACTTGAATGGGGTAAGGTTTTTGCTTTGGGGAAACCAGGGACAGAGACATAGAATTAGAGTGCATGAGATACTGAGGGAGCAGTAGGGGTGGGGGTGATGTTTTACTGGGAAAGGGAATTGAGGAACATCAGCATTGAAGAAAAATGCTTTGTTGCATCTGTTTATTTTGTAGTTACTGGAATGGGGAACTGCTCATTTTCAGCCATACCTCTCCCTTCTTAGCCAGTACCTGAGGTGCTAGACTAGTTTCTTAAAATTACTATAAAATTATCACAGGCAGTTTGAGATGGGTAACTGATACAGTTATGTATCTGGGCATATCTTAGTAGGAACCATAACCCTTCTCTTTGAAGAGATTCCTTGCAATTCCAGGGGAGCTCATTCAGAACTAATGGAAAGAACAAATTTTGGTGGGGAGGGACTTAGTTCCCAGATAGTTGTTTTATACTTCAGGACTCAGGTTAGAATTCATGTTTTTACCATGACACTTTAAAGGAGCTTTGGCCCATTCAGAATAGGTTCCTTCATTATTTTTCACTAGGATTGTGGGGTAGTTATCTCTGAGTCTTAGTGTCTTTGTAAAATGGGGATAACACCATCTTACTTATAGGACTTTTGTGAGGGTTACTGTGTTACATACATATAAAGCCCTTTGCACAGTACCTGGTGCAAAGTAAGCATTCAGTAAATGCTATCTGTTATTATTATTGTTACTGTCATCATCATTGTCATCATCACTAGTAGAATTGTGAATATGCACTCCCCTGGAAATAAGCGAACGGCCCTCCTATCTGAAGCACTGCCTAAGCAGCATACCGCTCACAGAAAGGACTTAAGTAAAACAGAACAGTAATGCAAACATTTGCTGTCTAGTTTCTAACTCTAGTATCTCAGATGTCCTAACAATGACTAGTTGGTTTGCTTTTCTTTCTTTTTTTTAGCCAATAACACAGCTTTATTTTTTCTTTTTCAGTTGCAGTTTACTTTTAATATTATTTTGTATTGGTTTCAGGTGTACAGCATAGTGGTTAGACAATCATATATTTTACAAAGTGTTCCCCCCAATATTTCCAGTTACCCCCCTGGCACCATACATAGTTATCACAATGTTATTGACTATATTCCCTGTGCTGTACTTTACATCCCTGTGACTGTTTTGTAAATACCAATTTGTACTTCTTAATCCCTTCACCTCTTTCACCCAGTCCCCCAGTTCCCCTCCCCTCCGGCAACCAGCAGTCTGCTCTTGGTTTGCTTTCATTCTGTGAACTCTGAACTCTGGGTTAAATTGCCAAGGTAAGGTGGTTATAAAAATATTTTTACTTGTATACGAGTTCTTTCTACTGTGCTTGCAGACCTCATTGGCAGCCTTAATTAGGACTTTTTGTTTCTTCAGTGGACTTACAGATTTTTACTAAGAATCAAGGCTTGCCCTGGCTGGTGTGGCTCAGTTGGTTGGGCATCATCCCATGTGCATTGAAAGGTTGCTGGTCCAATTCTTGGTCAGGGCACATGCCCAGATTGCTGGCTGTTGGTGTTTTGCTCTCATATCAGTGTTTCTCTCTCTCTCCCTTCCTCTCTGTCTAAAAATCAATAAAAAAATCTTTAAAAAAAATAAAAGAGTCAAGGCTTGGGTAGTTTATATACCTAGACTGATTCAGATTTATGATCTGTCTTGTTATGAAACCAGAAGCTTGGTGTCATAGTTAAGCACATTAGTCAGCCTCTGCGTCTTCCAGTAATGTCAGGGCTGCCTGCTCTGCATCTGCCATCCTATGGCTCAGCTTCAAATGGCATGTCATAGTCTGCCTGGTGGTTGCTTAGACAATGCCTAGGCTACCTATACATTAAAGCCCTGTTTAAACACAGGCTTGTGTCTATCCTTATTAAACTTAAACCTTCTGAATTTTGTGGAGCCTTTAGTAAATTGTTTGGTAATTGGTTTATTTTTAGCTCAATGACTATGTTAGGCATAGGAAAAAAAGAGTATAGATCCACCTTAAAGTGCCTCACCCAAATTAGGGAGTGTGTTCCATGAAGCTGTTTATCAGTTCTTGACTCCTCTTAAATACTGAGTATGTAAAAGAGTTTGTTCTTGTGTTGTTTATTAATTGTATTATTTTCCATACGAACAACTGTAAACTTACTTTTGCCCAACCTTGCCCTATATTATGAAGATTTAATTCAGTAACCAGGGTATGTCGTATGGAATATTGCTTGAAATAACTGAGCCAGTGGTTGGAATGTTGGATGTTTTTACATTTGGGAAATTAAGAAGTATAAAGTACTTAATTTTTTTATTTTAAAGCAACTAGGAATTTAAGAGAAGCTGTTAATTTTGATTGGTTGTCCTGTGTTTTAATTGTTTATTTTTATTTATCGATTTTAGAGAGAGAGAAGAAGGGGGAGAGAGGGAGAGAGAGAAACACCGATTTGTTGTTCCACTTATTTATGTATTCATTGGTTGATTTTTGTATGTGCCCTGAGCTGGGATTGAACCTGCAGCCTTGGCATATTGGGATGATGCTCTAACTAACTGAGCTGCCTCGCCAGGGCTGTGTTTTAATTGTTAACAGAGAAGCTTTTTATGGAATTAGACAAATTGATATAAAAGTTAATATGGAACAACAAACATGCAGGAATGGCCAGGAAAACACTAAAAAACCTACAAGAGGAGACTAGCCTTAGCTTACATAAAAGCATATTACAAAGCCTATGTAATTAATAAAAGCACTATGGTACTGGTGTATGAAGGGGCAATGGGCTAATGGGATAGTATAAAAAGTAGAAATAGACCAGGTACCTATGAAAACATAGTATCTGGTAAATGATGGGGTAAAGATAGACTTTTTACTAAATGATGCTGTGACAATTAGGTAACCATTTGGAAAAAGATAAAATAGATCCATACTTCACACCATACAAAAGAAACTCCAAATGGATCAGATATCTAAATAAAAAACTAAAATCGTACATGTTCTAGAAAAAAATTCTTTGCTGTAAGAAAATCAAGAGACAATAAAAGATTGATAAAGTTTTCTCCATGAGTGTGGTGGGATGCATAGCACTTTATGGGAAATACTAGAGGCATTTCCCTTAGGAGAACAACGAGGCAGTGATGCCCATTATCTCTGCCTCTGTTCACATTGTGCTCTAGAGGTTTAGCCAGTGCAATTAGATAAAACTAAATCAATTGTGGAGGCATAAGAATTGGTAGAGAAGAAGTAGGAAGTAAAGCTAGCCTTGGCTGGTCTGGCTCACTGGGTAGAGCATTGTCATTGTTTGATTCCCAGTCAAGGTCATGTTAGTTGCAGTTTCAGTTGCAAGTTCAATCCTGGGCCCTGGTCGGGTACGTGTGGGAGGCAACCCGTTGATGTGTCTCTCTCTCCCTTCCACTCTCTCTGAAAATCAATGTTAAAAATATCCTCAGGTGAGGATTAAAAAAACCAAGTAAAGCTATTTTGTTTGCAGATGATATGTTATACTTTGAAAACCCTAGAGAATCAATGATAAAACTAACTTAAGTGATAAATGAAATCAGTAAGGTAGGATATAAAATTAACATACAGTTAACCAGTGTCACCCCAATAAATTCAATTAAAATAAAAAAACAAAACCTACCCTAGCCAGGTAGCTCAGTTGGTTAGAGTGTCGTCCCAATATGCCAAGATTGTGGCTTCTCTCTCCAGTCAAGGCACATACAAAAAAGCAGCCAATGAATGTATAAACAAGCAGAACAACAAAATCAGTGTTCCTTTCTCTTTCTCCTTTCCTCTCTCTAAAATAAAAAACCAAAAATTAATAGCTCTTCTATATACAAATAACCAGTTAGAGGACATAAAAGGGAAAAAATGCAATCCTATTTGTAATAATATGGAAGATGGAATACTTGGGAATAAACCTAAAGAGAAATATGCAAAACCTCTAAGAGATAAACTTTAAAACATTCCTTGAAAGATACAGAGGTCAGCTTGAACAAATGGAAAGATAGCCCTTTTTCTTGACGAGAGCAGATCAACGTAAGATGTCAGTTCTCCAACATTAATTTATAAATTTAATGCAGTGCCAAAAAAATAGCACCAAGTATGTTTCTATGGAGTTAGACAAGTTGAGAGTAAAGTTCACATGGAAAAGTAAACATGGCAGACTTGCTAATGGAGGTTGTTTCCTTTAGGATAATTGGGATGATGAGGAGGAGGAGAAAAAAGAGGAAGCAGAAGTCAAACCAGGTGAGCCGCTGGGGTTTCTACATTTTTGGTTTTGTGTCTTGGTGAGCAACTGGTGCTTATGTTAAGACAAATGACAAAAAGCTCACAAAATTGAAAATTTTGGTATTTAGAAATCAAACATCCTTCCATTCCCACTTTATTCTCTTCTCCCTGCATCTCTTTTCTCCTCTCAAAACATAATCAGATGTCTGCTATTATTTCTGTTTCAGTGTTAGTGTTAGGAGAGAGTAAAGGGTGTGGTATCGTAGTTGAATGCTCTAAGTCCTGCCTAAAGGACTGTGGAGAAACATGAAGGCAGATGTCTGGATCTTAGGGGTGAGGTTAGAGAGGAAAAAGGAAGAGTCCCAGAACTTTCCCATTCTTATTTGCTAGGAAATCACCATATGACTTTGGAGCTGGGAGAGATTTGGTCTCTTGAAGTACACGAGTATCATGTCTGTCTCATCCATAAACTGGAAAATATTAAAGATAATTGATTTTAAAATTTCTTTACTTTCAGAAGTAAAAATTTCAGAAAAGAAAAAAATAACAGAGAAGATAAAAGAGAAAGAACGGCAACAAAAGAAAAGACAAGAAGAAATTAAAAAGAGGGTAAGTACTATTGATTTTCTAAAATACAGAACTCTCACATTAGTAGTGGTACAGTGTTTTAACAGAAAACAAATATTACCTAGCAATTTGAGGGGCTTTGTAAAGGTTTTAAATGGACACCCATCAAATTAACTGAATCCCAAAACTGAATTTGTGGTTTTTGCAAATACCAAACCCAGAAGCTTTATGTATTAGAATGCCCTTTAAGTCTTCACAGACATTTAGAAACAGTCATGATTGTGCAATGACCACAGTCATACAAAAAGTGTCCGTTTCTCTGCCATGTACTGTGTGTTTTTGTTGTTGACTATTTGGAGCAAGATCAGGAATCTGGTATTAATTTATTACTATTTTTTAAATAGAAAACACATTTACATGATTCAAAAATCAAAACAATATTAAGAAGCACTCCTAATTCTTCACTTACTTATCCTATTGCTCTCCCTGTATCCCACAAGTAAATACTGGTTCCTTATGTCTCCAAGGTGTCTTTATGTATTTGAATACAAATGTATATTATTTCTTTTTTTATAGTTTTCACCTCGCTTTATTTAATATATCGTGTAGGTCTTTCTATATCAAATCATAGAGTTTTTTCCCTTGACTTTTCATTAAAAATTTCAAGCATAAAAGTAAAGAAAGCATAATGAATAATCATACACAGCACAGTTAATATTTTGCCATATTTGCTTCATCTATTATTTTTTGCTAAAATCAAATAAATAACAAGCATTATGCATTTTACAATTTTCCCAAAATGGAATACTTTAGAGGTAATGCTATGTACTTCATATTGCATCATATCACGTCACAGTAGTTATGTACTGTCTATCCTGTTATTAGTGAGGCTAAAATTGATCGCTGGGTTAAGGTTGAGACAGCCTGATCCTTCTCATAAAATTACACATTTCTTCTCTGGCAAGTAATCAAGTTTCATGTTAGCTTCTCACCTGATAGTTTTGTATCACTGATGATGATCAGTGATAAATAAAAAATCTAATTATTTGATTAGATATTGCTGAATGGTGATTTTCTCATTCTGTGACCTCTCTTCCTTTTTTTTATTGGCTGGCTTTTTTTTCTTCTTTTGCTACCTGGTTACTTTGGGTATGGTTGTACTAGAAAGGCAGAGTAAAAGCTTAATTCTTTTTAATTACCAATTTTCAGAGTAAGGAGAGGTATAATAACTTCAAGTGGTGAAAAATGAGGGATTTTGTGGGGCTTATTTTATTTTGAGTAAATTTATAAATTCATTGTGTTTTACTAAGATAGTTTTTTTGATGCTCAAGTTGTCCCAGCTTGGCCAGTAGGAATCCCTTTGAGTAGTTCCTGTCATTTTGACAGGACCCTATTAGTCTTTGAAAGCTTCCTTGTTTTCTGGTACAATAAGAAGTGCAAGGCTTACCTGATAAATGCTCTCAAGCCTGGAATCAGCTACTCCTCTGAGGCTTCTTTTAGTGAGAAATTGTATTTAGAGGCTAAATCTAGATTCTTGTAGTACTTAGTATTATGGTAGCCTTGCTGTCCATGCCTCTTTTGTTTCTGTTTGTTTTCAATTTTAAGGTTTTTATATAACTTCTTTTTAATCCTCACCCAAGGATATGTTTTTACTGATTTTTAGAGGGAGGGAAGAGGGGAGCATCAGTGAGAGGGAGAAACATTGACCAGTTGCCTCCAATACGAGCCCCCAACAGGAATTGAACCCACAGCCTTTTGGTGTACAGGACGACAGTCCAACCAACTGAGCCACCCAGTTAGGGCTTAACTTTATTTTTTAAACATGATATATGTTCAGAAGTCAAAAGTTCTGTTGATTGGATCTTTCTTGGTCATTGAAGTTAGAATTATACTTATTTTGTATTTCAGTGTATCTTGATATTAGTCTCTAACGTAAACCTTAGTTTGACTGTACCCAGTTTATCTTAGGCCAGGTATTGAGTTAAGATATATTCAGTTTTGCCCAGCTGGGCATATGTTATCGTCTTAATGGTACAAAGTAATATAATAAAAAGGGGAAAATATTTTTCTGATTCTTTGGGAAAAAATAGCGATATGCCATACTTTCACCATTCTGTGGAACATTCAGGTTGTTTCTAAATTTATATTTAATACTCCATTGAACATCTTTGTGTTTAAAATGTGTGCGTCTTTGGTTTCTTAAGATAAATACTCAGAAGTGGAATTATTTAATTAAAGCATATAACAATATTTTAAGTATTACCAAGTTGCCCTAGAAAGGTTGTTTCAGTGTACAGTGCTAGTGGCACAAAGTGAGAGTGCCATTTTCACCTTCTCTGCAATCTCAATTTTTTATTTTTAAAAAAGGCTGTAGAAATAAATGCAGTCTTCTTGGGTTCAAATCTCAGCTCTGTTCCATTATCAGCTAGCTGTGTTAACCTTCTGTTACCATGGGCAAGTTGCTTAACCTCTCTGTGCCTCACTTTATAAATGTTTGCTATTATTTATAATTACGTGTGCTTATAAAAAAGTTCATGCAAAAGAGGTGTACTTACTGGGTCCCCCTATCATGATTCCAACCCTTGTAAAATTTCACTTCTATATCATTTTAGTTAGAAGAACCTGAAGAAACTAAAGTGCTAACACCAGAAGAACAATTAGCAGATAAACTGCGGCTAAAGAAATTACAGGAAGAAGCAGACCTTGAATTAGCAAAAGAAACTTTTGGTAAGTGGGGGTGTGATTGCAATGCAGTATTGAGGTTCAAAGTAATTACTGTGAAAGTCTTACAAGTTATGAAAGTTTAGAAAACACCTTTTTTTTAAAATCCTCATCTGAGGATATTTTTTCCATTGGTTTTTCAGAGAGTGGAAGGGAGGGAGGGAGGGAAAGAGAGAGAAGT